TATTTTTTCCCTTGTTTGTTTCACTGTCGCTCTTGTTTCGCCGTTTAGCATGAGAATAAAGAATAATCTTATTCTCGTTCCCCGCAGGAACCAAGGATGTGCTCCGCGGCGTGTCCGGGCGCTACCTGTCCGGGGAGCTGACGGCCATCATGGGTCCCTCCGGGGCCGGCAAGTCGTCGCTGCTCAACGTGGTCACCGGAGTACAGTGAGTATCCTTAACGGGGACTGTATACCAAGCTGCGGTCCTTGACCGTTCCGACCGTTGGAGAGGTTGGGCGCGGCAGGGTTCGCACCGCCGATCGCCGACCTGCACAACAGGGAGGGCACTCAGGGGGCGGCAGAAAACCTGTTCTCACCGGGGGCTTTGAACCCTTTCCGACGATCCCAAAGGCACCATCCCCGTCCGCATGGTCGACCGATGAGCGAGTGATGTATATCGTGCGGACCCCCTTCGTGACCTAAAGATACGAACCTGGTCATTGAGTTTGCAAATTTGCCAAGTATAAAAAACCGTCGCCTTGGGCTTGGGACGGGGTGCAGTACAGCAAGCGACCAAGCAAGCACTGCTTTCTCACACTGTCCCAGTGTGTCGACTTGACCTATGTCGTTTTGCGCTAACAATGAATATGAAGAAACGCTGGAACTGTCGACTTGAGAACTTTACCTGAGTACAAGCTACTGATACTGCGTATCATCTGCCAAAAAGTCTGGCAAAGATATTTTTTTTCAAATCCGACGGGTATGTAACACAGAAAGACTTCTAACTAAGAGCAGGGTGCCCGCCCGTGACTGACGCGGACTGACGCCCGGTTAATGTACATTACACCTTAACGCCTTGGTGCGGCCGGTGTCCGGCGGCCGTATATGCCGCTGACAGCCGGCAGCAGGCCGGAGCAGCAGAGCGTCATTTCCGTCCACTTCCGATCGCATTTGCGCGTGCCTGGCTGGAGCCTGGGGCCGCCGGCCAGCCAGCCCGGCCAGGTCTGCGACCTCGGCGCGGCGCGGCGCGAGGGACGGACGGAAGTGGCTATAGGCGGCATCTGATTTTCCGTGCAGCGCGGCACGCACGCGAATAGCGCGCGGGGGGGGGGGGGGGGAATCCACTCGCAGTTGTTGAGGACTCCACCGCGTAAAGCCAGGAATTGCTGTGGTAACGTGCCGCTGCAGTGTTGCCAACCTGCTGCTCCTGGCTTGACGGAATAATGACCCTTTGGCGACCGAGTGGGTGAGGTCAAGAACAAGTTTCATTTATAATGTACCGATATACCCGAGAATCGAAAATCTGGGTCAGTGAGAGCTGAAGAAGCCCTTCATGGCATGGTGTCTTACGTCTACCTCTCTAGGATTCATTTAAGTCCATCACTAACCCCTTTGTAGGTTCCAGAAGAAACCAAAGTTGGATCGTATTTTTCAGGCAAAACTCCTTCCCTCCGGATCGTCTGGTTCAGATGGGTGATGTGCGGAATGAATCTGGGGAGAGTGGAAGATTTTCCACCCTAATACCGACCTTCAAATCGGCCACCCTCCCCATTTTGTTAATCCACCACCGTGGGTTAAAACGGAGACTCCTCTGGCGCTTTTTGTCCCTGGGAATATAATAATCAGCGGAAATAACGATAATAATAAAAGACAAGTAGTCCTCTACTTCCCGACCGTCATTAACGTGATCGGGTGTCCAGACACATAAACCAGATTCCTTCATGGGGAGGGCGGCTATCGCGGCCTCGCCGGCGAGACAGCGGCGGCGGCACGGCTTTGCTACAGTGTAATTTGGGGGGG